CTTTCCCTAATAAATGGCACGTTGCCTTACTGTTATTATTGACCAGATTGATTAAAATGGAATCAATTTGATGAAGATGGTCCCATAAATTATTTTCTTTGCTTTTGTTGGCTTTGCATTTATCTCTTGCTGACTCACTCTTGTTTTTCACAAGCTGCAACATGCACATTCACATATCCCTTTGCACAACAAAGGAGAAGTGCATCTATGTTAAACAAAATTCTACAATGTCATTTACAAGTTGTATAAAGTAAAAGGGTCATCTCTTTTGGAAACTGAATGCCTTAATTGAGAAGGCAAAGGTGAATCCAAAAAGCAGTGAAAACCCAACAACCACAACTGCAGCTAACCCTAAGAAATCATCTCTATACCCAAAATAACTCCTAACAAACTCATCCACAGTCTCTCCAGTCTCTATACGTTCTTTTATATCACCAAATTGTGATGTAACCAATCCATATAAGGTCCAAGACACAGGACAAATCCAAAAGTACCATCTCCACCACACTGGCATCCTCTGTTACATAATAATAATAATACCCTTTGTCAGTTAATAACTTACTAAGTTACTATCTATATGTACATCATGGGCTGGTGTTAAAATGAAACTAAAGGGACACATAAACTTACTGTTCTTGGGATGACGAATCCTGAAAAGAGGTTCCATATCAAGTAGAACCCAAATGAAACTATTGCAGCAATGTTGTGATCCGGGGTAAGACCCACAGCCATCATCCCATAAAAGGTGAAGTATAAAAAGGTGAAGAACATGAAGAAGAGATACCAAAAGAACTTGATGAAGGTCCATTCAAAGCCAATCATAGCATACACTATGATCCCATACACCAGGGTCTGTATGAGTATATATGGGATCTCAATGGCAACCTGAATATTACAAATATGGAGAGTGAGTTTGCTTAAATTTCCCATTTTCATTCAGCTTCATAAGTAGTGTTCTATAACTAAGGAAACTCTTTGTCATTTAATTGTTGGAGTCTGTTTGGACATAAGCTATAAATGTTTTTAAGAACTTCTTTATATGTTCGGTAGAAAAACTTTCAAAAGCTTTTCTAAGTTCGTATCCAAAATAGACTCTTAATATTCTTTAATTATTACATGAGAAATTTCATGCGTACCTGTCCAAATGCATATGGTAAAGCTGAGTACATTCCAGCTGCTCTTTCTCTATAGAAGACTGTTCTCTCAATGGCTACAACTGGTTGCACAGATGTAGAATTTTGTATCCCAATGAAGAGGACCGCAGCATACATGGATCCCATTGCATTGAATAGATCTTGTTTTCTTTGCCTGCATCAAAAGAATATATAAATAACGGTAATAATAAAAAAATAGGAATTTAGAAATAGTGCAAGGAAATTAAGGATAGTGGCTGCATGTTGGTACCTTTTGGAGCCAATATCCCAAAATATTGTACCAAACAATAAGGCTATGGTCGTTGTGAATAAGAGTCTCACTGCACTATATGGGGGATTTCGCCAATATGATAGGTGTTGTTTCCAAAGGCAGGCCATACATTGTGTGAAGAAAGTCTGTGAGTACGTCGTGGGGAAGTACAAGTCTTTAGAACCAGCTGGAGGTGTACTAAGTTCCCTGATCAAGGCCTTGTTTCTCCTGAATTTAATTGTGCAATATTGGTTAACCATACAAAGACATATTAACAGTAACAAATGCTTAAGGAGCACTGCTTTCACGTAAACATCAAAATAAAGTTTCCCGTTATGGATTACTAATGACATCATATGGTTTTTGCTTTGAATTTCAAGTTTCTCCTACCTATATAGGTCAGAATTCTTGTATAGTTCAGCGAAGTTAACTCCAAGAGCTTCTTCTTCTGCTTCTGATGTAACCTCCAACATCCAAGTGGCAGGATTATAACCATTCTTAATTTTTGGCACCCCATTAATTCCCTATACCAAGCACAACTTGATGAACAAACTGATTGATAATACAAAAGTATTTAGCGCACAACTTTTAATTACTAATTAGAGATTGTGCAGACCTCAAAGTAATTGATCAGATGAGAACAATGCTGGCCTAAAGGTCCCACATATATTTCCTCACCTCCACGCTTCAAGAGAAGTAGCTGTAACATAACAATGTAGATGTTAAGCCTTGAGACACTGAATTTCTGTAAGCAAGAAATGGAAAAGGGCCACTGACCTCATCAAAAGCATCAAATATATCAATGCTAGGTTGGTGGATGGTGCAGACCACGGTTCGCCCTGTATCCACTGTATTCCTCACTGTTCTCATGACTATAGCAGCAGCTCTTGCATCAAGGCCAGAGGTAGGTTCATCCATGAATATAATAGATGGATTGGCAACAAGTTCAACTGCAATTGTTAACCTCTTGCGTTGCTCCGTGGAGAGGCCATTCACTCCAGGCAATCCCACCAGGGCTTCTCTTAATGAAGTCAGCTCTACAAGCTCCATAACTTCCTCAATGAACATCTACAACCATTCAATAGGATCCATAAGCAATTGAAACACATTCAACACTTGGAAGCAGGTACAACACTACAATGTCATTTTTTGTGTGTGTACTAAGAAACTCAACATGAGCAT